AGTTGTCGTTTACACTGATAGGCGCATATATAGCGCCGTCAGGTCGACTAGATCAACAAATCTTGAATGGTATATTTGCAACGACTCCAGCGCCTTGGATATTGATGGGTGACTTCAACGCCCATCATCCATTGTGGGGAAGCATCAGGACAAATCGAAAAGGCACGGACCTAGTTGATCTCGCATCAGAGCACGGGCTTCAGGTGCTGAACGACGGCAGCCCTACTTATCTCCGAGGAGTAACTTACAGCAGTTGCCTGGACTTGACATTAGTGTCGCATAGCATTGTCACGAAAGTCCAATGGTTCACAGATATTGAAACACGTGGCAGCGACCATATCCCCACGCTTAAGACAGACAAATTGAGCACTCAGGGACGCGCACATCAAGACTCTTCTTGTCTTTCCTACTGCTCACCGCGATATCCACGGTACAGCACGTGTGGGCGAAGTGCCGTGCGGGTGAGAAGGCCTGAGAGATCACTCATTGACGACAATCTTCATAGCGCATGACGGTAGGTGGCGACACCAGTGGTAGGCTATAATAATAAGGTGGTAGCATCATCTTATAGGCCCCAGACGATTGCCGGATATTTTGTTTCCGTGATGGTGTAATTCGTCTCTGATTTATTAAGAAAACGACTTCCATATGCCCCGTCATCCTCAGGGAAACCTGGTTTGCGCTGTTCGAAGACCCCGTCCAGGCTCACACCACTGGCGTCCATGTGCAATTTTGAAGGTTCGTAGTGACGTAGTATGACTGGAGTTGTTAACAAACAACGGAGCTTTGCGAACGTGACGTCACTATCTGAAAGCCACAACAAGCTATCATTGTGATAGATGCTCCGTCATAATCGAGGATTATTGTTATGAATGAAAGAAAAGATTTTTATAGGGTAAATTTTAAAACGTTTTATAAATTACATTGTTGCTCACTACAAAAACGGCCATCCTGAAGTTTGTCAACGAACAGTGACTTGTCGCACAATTAAGCTCAAAATTCTTCTAAAAATTGGGTTTCCGAGGTCAACGTATACAAAAATAACGACACGTAAGCTTTCCTTGTTTTCAAAGTGGCACTGCTACAACTTCGTAATAGCAGAAGTTGTGTACAAATCGAAGCTTTCATGTTACGCGTTGCGAAAAAAGGTCAAGGCACTTCTATTTGTTTTCGAAATGACTTCTGTTGCTACAATGTGTGTACTTATTGTGCGTTCTTCACGTTATGGACCATTCATAGCCGTAGTGCGTGAACAAAGAGGTCATTCAAGCACTGGCTTCATGCTTAAAAACCAACAGCACAAGACGTACGTACCCATAGCCAATACAATGGCCTTATTGTCAAACTATGCCGCGAGTGCAGTAGCATTCATCTAGAATGCCCTAGCTAACAAAAGCCTTCACAGTGATGGGCCTTCATTACATGAATCTGAATATCTTATACGGCTACGTTGAGATGAGAATCGATCATGAGCATCTTATTCCTCGCACTAGGCACATCACAAAAGAATCACAACCTAACCACGGATTGAATGATGATGAGTGGGGCGAAGCGACCGTCCATCCACCCATTCATCCATTCGTGCGTTCGTCCGTCCGTGCGTGTGTGCTTCTGTTCGTCCATCAGCCTGTCTGCCTGTTTGTCTGTCTCTCTCTCTCTCTGTCTTGTCTGTCTGCATGATTGTCTGGCAACGGCCCTCTATGCCCGCCGCTTCATTTCGTCTATAGCCCACCAACAATCCCACACGTTCGGTGACGATCAAGGAGAAAGAGAGGCACCCGTTCCCCGCGCACCCAAGCACAGCCAGCGCAGCCGCCAATCGGAGAGTAGCGGTACAGTGGCATCTAGAATATTCTCATTCAACGCAGTTTGTATGTACTTTTATCAGACAGCGCCATGTAATATACTGTTCGGGAGATACTGGTGGTTACATCTGACGCGGGACAAGGTTATGCTAAGAGGAGTTTTGCTCCTAAAATCCGAACAGTTCCGCCAGAAGCAATACGGCTAGAAAAGTGTCAGACGCAAAGCAACGAACATTATAGCGTAGATAGCACCGTGTTAAAGCATGGGTCCTAATGTTGTAGAAGACATTAAGGTTCAGGCGTGCAATTTCGCGTGCCCTCTTGTGCAACTGAATGTAACCTTTGGTCCATTTAGAGTTAAAGCACCGTACTTAAAGATTGGAATACGAAAGTAGAGGACTGAATAATGCAAGCACTTTCGTTTAGACGATCTACAGTTCGAGCCATATCGGGGTAGTTTCAATCAGAACGCTTACATCGCAGCCCAAAACTACCTTTAGAAATCATATTTGCATACTTGACGTGGTTATCACGAGCAGTTGTTGATATGACTTGTTATACAAAAAGAAACGATGCCGCATTTCGTTTGGTCAGTCTGGTACAATCGGAGAGAAGCAAAACCGTTTTCTATGCTGCATAGAACTATGTGCTAGAGCTAATCCGCAATCTTGGTGATAATAAAGAGGCGGAGCCAGCTGACACAAAGTATGGGGCAATTAGAGAGATAGCGGGGTAAATCGTCAAGACTGGAGGCGAATGGATAGGCTAATGTTCCCAATTACGCTTTGTGGAGCCGCCGCACTACTCCGGCTCTGTTTTCACAGGGCGTTGGAGCTTAGGCCCGGAGGCTGTATCCACGGTGTCAACAGTTTTCGTGGCAGGCAGGCCTGCGGCGAATCCGTCCTCCAGCCAGGATATGTGGACAGCGGCAGGGAACGCAGTCGACAGCAAGCACAGCGCATCACCGGAGAAGATTGATCACATGACCTTTCCTCGCCTGGGGACGAGAGGCGGGGTATTTGCGTTCCTCGCCACTTGCTTTCAAGGGACGGTGATTGTTCCATCTTGTTCACCGCGCCGTTGCTTGCGCCGAAAGAGATAAGGAGAGTCAGGACAGTGCCCGACGAGGACACGCCGGCTTAATCGAAAATCTGCGTTGCGGAAAATGGCACGCCTTTCGCACACCGCCAAGGGATTGAGGAATTGCGCCGATGGAAAAGAGAAAGCGAAAAGAAATGATGATTGTCTTCTGGAATGGAAGGGTCCTGGGTATTAGAATAGATTTCGACGATATGCCTAACGTGCTGCATTTCTCAGCAGTCCTGGTTTGTGTAGGCTTTGTTTGACCGGCTTGGTAGAAATATGCGACATATTCAATGTGTTCCTTTCTTTTATTCAATTGAATTTGCAGTTTGATCATTTTGTTGTCATTTTGTTTGTCTTTTGAAAGGCTTGTCCTTACGCAATGTACAAAACTTCAGAGGACAATTCGGTTTTTCCACGAGTTCTCTTCATGCACCATTTGTGTCTGCTTGCATACTATCTCAAATTGGGCAACTTCTCTAGGCTGAACTAATAATAAATTATTATTATTGCGGACTTAACGTTTAAAAAACATGATAATATTACGCGAGACGCCATAGTGTAGAGCTCCGCAAATATTAACCACCCGGGGTTCCAAATTGTGCACATAAATCTAAATGCACGGGCCTCAAACACTTTCGCTTTCATCGAAATCAGCCGCCGTAGCCGAGATGCGATGCTGTGTGTGACCTTCAGGTTACCAGCCGAACGTTGTAACCACTACACCTCCACGGCGGGGCTCTTTAGGATGAACAAGATCCAATTTCGTAGCAGAGGCCGAATGTAGAAGAAAAACGATGGGCAAGCCAATGTAGGAAAGTTAGGATGTCGCACACACTGCGCTTCTTTTACCACAATACAGCTTCGATGTTAATCACAGCACGACCACTTCCGTGGACGTCGAGCCTCTTATGTTGCTGGTCTTATCAGAACCACAGCGACTACTTATCAGGATGTCACTATAGCACTGGCATAAGTAATCTATTGTACGACAGTTAAATATTTACTCACTTCCAAAAAAAACTGAACCCTCCAGCTTTACAAATCGTTACAACTTTCACAGGTAACTGAAGGTCTGCACTCGTAACTTAAGGTCTGCATTCCAAATGTGTTTGTAATCATAGTACAATCGCCGCCCACAACAGAATGTTGCTGTACTGCACAAGTATGCACAAATCTGAAAACTGATCCAACTACAAATAAGAAGCTGCAAAGCTTGGTAATTGTATTTTGCTACTACTTCGCCGAGTTTATGAAAGTCTTCTTCCCAAGAATACATTGAACAGCTATACCTTGAATACTGCATTGCATAGTACACCTTTTTCAGCTTTTTTAAAAGGCCACACACTTGAGAGAGAGAGAGAGATAAATATAGAGGAAAGGCAGGGAGGTTAACCAAGCTTGGCTCGGTTGGCTACCCTACACTTAGGGTGGGGGAAAAGGAGAATAATAGAACGGAAAATGCCACACACTTGAAGAAGCCGCTATGGTCCCCATTTTCATGATGAAAGTGAAGGACATGCAAGCAAGACCAGGCCAAGATGTCACCTTGCAGGGATGAGAAATCGTTAAGCATGGAATATCCCTGGAGTCAAAGTATTGACAAGATGAAATCTCTTCGCCAAGGATGAAGACAAGTCATTCTGAGACAAATGATAGACAGCACCCACGAATCGCCAGGGATGTTGATATGTGTGCCTGTTGGGCTGTTTTTCTCTTCGCACTCTATTCCATTACCTTTAAATCTTCCCCTCTTGTGTTCAAGAATGTTTGAGAGCCTGCACTGTTTTACCGTCTGCTCTGTATTCAAGCCTTTCACCTCCCCTTGAATATTTTCCTACATATAGTATGTGCCGTACCATGTGGCTCACTTCAGCACTTTTTTTTGGATTGCTCTGAATGCAGGTAAGACAAAGCACGGACTACCTATCATCTACAGTGAAATCTTATCCTCGGTGTAGTCAAGACAGCTGCAACAAGTGACTATGGAGGCCATGTTCACTCCGACGCCATTCTGGTTAACGCCCGGCCAGGTGGTTACCTAAGGAACGCTGAAGACGTCGGCCTACAGAGGGCGCGTTCGGTTCCTGTAGTGTCTGGCGCTGGCCGGAAATGACAAACAAAGTGCCCGGTGACCAGTTGCTGCCCGTTATGGACGCCGGGCTCAGACCGGAGCCACAGCATCAGTTCGAAATGGAAGGCAAAGCGTCCCTCTTGGGATACTCGCCATTTTGCAGCCCCATGATCGACGACCGAAACTCCTACGCCAGGTAAGTTTGGAAAAATTTGTTCTGTAATTTTTTCGCCATTTCTAAATATTTGCACTGGTTTTCGAAGTTGCATCAATAATTGAAGGAAAAGATTTTCATTCGGTGGAAAGAGAACCATCGTGATGTCCTTACCGAGAAAATTATGCCATCTTAGCGAACATTTGTGGTATGCGTGGACATCTCATTTGATTGAATATCTGTTTTTTTTTACTCTTGCCTTGAATAAACACTAGGTTGTATTCGAAAACTGAGACAAGGCATGTGAATATTCTGTACGCATTTTTATACTTTTGTGCTTGTTCAAAATTTTGCAATCGTAACTATTATGCAAAACAATGAGCACTAGCCCCAAATACCCGCTGCCATCAATGTGTTCCTAATACTATCAATGCAAAAGCATAAAACATTGACCAATCGAAAAAAAATTTAGTGGTCCTGTCTGGATCTCAGGGGCATAAACTCAGTACTTCACCACACTTCAGTATCATGTACAGACCAACAACATGAAATTCCTGACATAGTAATGCGTCACAGGCAATCGTATTGAAGTTATGTGTTCTCATTTGACAATGTCTTGCTTGTAGATCGGACCTAAACAGATTTACGAAATGATAAATGCTACTCTAATATAGCGCATCAGCCCAACACTCATAAGTTAGACTTTCTGGATCTCGCTACGCTAATAGGCGCTTAGGTGTCACCAACAGGAATTATTACCACAGATAAGGGAAATTGCTTGTGTTCAGGTAAAAAAACAATAGAATCATGTTTCACTGATCTTACTTCTTATTGAATGAGAGTACTTTAAAGAACATGTGCGCTTAACAACTCACTAAATTATCATAATATTTCGCATATTCTGCGAAAGGACTGACGGCTGTTTTATGCGTGATTAGCAGTATAATGTTTTATAAAGAATCGCATGGTCTTATGCAGTAGTGCGACGCATTGCTCGAGGGTACATACGAGTTACAAAGCCTAATAACAAATCTAGAGTAAACTTCTTTCTTATTTCTTTGGCAGACGGCTTAATGAAAATCTTGTGCGTTCATTCCCCTTACGTTGTTAGTCTTTTTTGCGTCAAATTATTTACTTTTATTGAACCCATAGAGTAGTTAAAAGACCAAACTAATGCAATGTCTATGCATGCTTTTTAGCTTTGTAACGTGTTTTATTCCTGTGTCCTACAAAAGATGACAGCATATTCACGGGGCGAATGATGGAGAGTGGGGCGAACCTGGGTCCACACGCTGCTGCCGCGCCGCTTCGGCATCCCGTTGTCGTATTGCAGGGTCCTCGCGGCACGCTTCTACCTCGCGCGCCCGCACGTCAGGGTCCTTTCTTCGAGCTTGAGCCGCCACCGCCCTGCGCGCACGCCACTCAGCAGCCTTGCCCATCCTCCGTCGCCTAGCCTCTGAATGCGCGCATGCGCCAAAACAAAGCTTTTATTGTACTATAGAGAGCCTCCTGGTGTATGACTCCACTGTAGAACACGCCATCATAGTCGAACGATCGTATCTCTCTCCTTCCGTACGTGTGACGTCAATTCTTCTTTTGTACAAGTAATAGCCTCTGGTATCGTACCATTTGCCTTTTTCTGCGTATAATACAAGTACCATCCCCTATGGCTGGTTCAAGAATTAACGATTTGGCGTTTACCCATAACGAAGGCGCACAAGCCACGCCATGAAGAGCTTCACCCCTAAAACATTTGCCTCTATCAGCTGTCGTTATTTCGTTGGTAATTGAAAATGCAACTCAATTTATCGGATTGTGATATTACGTCGGTAGGTACCAGACGTACATAGTGAAATATTACACGGACTTCTAACGGCCTGGAGTAACGTAAAATGTCTTCGTTTTTTCAGCCGTGTGCCCCAACTGATCTGCCCTGAACATGCACGTGACATCCCGAACATCGATAATTGCATTTGTGTTTGTTTTCGTCAATGAAAAACCAGCACCCTTAGTGTGAACGCTAACTGAAAAATATGCATATTATTGCAAGACTCCAGGCCAGCAGGCCTAGTGGTCGGTTGAAGTGGTCAGGTGCAGTGTATTTCAACGTATACCACAGCCTTTGTGAATGCACCCATTGTGATTCGAAGTGCACTGACTGTGTGTATTTATTTGTATCACTTCGCAGCCCAGTTGTGGAAGATAGCCCAGTTATCAGGTAACAGGTAGTATAGCAATGTTTGTAGAGATTACAACGCTGTAGTGATAGTCCACGGAGACTAGGCCGTTTGCTCACTTTTCACTAAACTATTTATCTACATAATGTATATTTTATTCTGCAGTCTGATTCTGGAGAAGAAGGTTTTACCATGTGAAGTACAGTTTAGTCAAAAGAGCGCTTAATGTCACGACAGCATATCCGATAGCGTAAGAAGCAGCTACGATCATCTTTTTATCGATTTCAATTACCAAAATAAGTTGCCATAAAAACCTAGGTTGCAAAATATAGCACCTTGAGTGTTCTTTACATCCGTGGTTTCGAATTGTGACTTCGAATTCTTCCTTTCATTATTTGTGCTGCATGTTGCTGTCTTTGTACCATGGTGGTAGCGAAGCTAGTCAATCTGCAGCTATAGCAGATTTTACGTAGGCATCTTCACTTCATTTAACACCTATATGTTGTTAAAAATTTACCGATGTGTTAAAACACTGCAAATCTCAAGCTCATGCTTTCCCCTCAGAAGCTATTCATGCTAAGTAAGCGTCAGAAATCTCCTTGCAGAGACACTAAAGCGTCACAGAACACATACCTTACGTTCCCCGAATTGGCATTTTCTCGTCGTTGATTGTAATTATTGCATTCGTTTTCACTGAAAATCAAATGTACAGCTTTTTTTTTTCGAACAATGTAAACTGCAAGACAAATTTTTGGAGTATACTGGAAAGTTCTTAAATCCAGTCTTGCAAACGCAAGGAATGTTGGCTGACTTACGATTAGTATAATATGCGCAAAATTAACCAACTGTGTGATGGATTGTCTTCTGGCTAATACCGTTACACTCGAGATTGTTACCACTACCTTCACATAAGTTGGAGTTCTACGAACTCTTGGGATTAGACAAGCCGCCTTTAAACACTCTGTACATATTTTATACATATCTTACGTACAGTGCAGGTGATAGCTGCTACTCCAAAATGTGCTAAAACTAACACGCGCTTTCGGATACTTCAAAACTATTAAATGTTATTTTATTCTCCCGTTCTGTTTAGCCATTTAAGTGATGAAGTAGAAAAAACGAAGAAATAATTTGTACCAACAATGACTTTATCTTGCCGCTTAATGTAAATGTACTGATCCCATGGCCCGTAATCTTCCGTAAATGTGTAAAATGTGCATTCAAAACGTTGTGCTTGCATATGATTGCAACAAGTTATTCAACAAGCGTCTTTCCACGTATTGAATTATTCACAATATCTTGTTGACGTCAAATATGAGTCAATTACAGCATTAGCGAAGATCTTTCTCCCAACACACGCAAGGCCCGTAAGCACCTCATTGAATTTGGTAAAGCATCTCGCAAGGCCTATAAACTTCGGTACAACAAACTAACCATTGATGGTATCACTTACGTTTTCGATCGCTCTTCTGAAAAAGTAATCCCCCTCCGCCAATAGCTACCACCTCCCACCTCAGCGAATCCTAAATTAAACCCTGAACTTTTGTCAATTGTACACACTAACATTAGAAGCCTCTTGCCGAAACGCGACTCGCTCTTTAATGATATCTGCACGACCGAATGCAACTTTGTTCTCTTAACTGAAACGTGGCTAAACCCTTCAATAAGCGATTCCGAATTAGCACCATGCTTTCCTGGCTTTACTATATTTCGGCGAGATCGTGATGGTAAGCGTGGTGGTGGCGTCCTGATAGCTGCTCACAGTCGATTAAATTGCTCCCCAGTGGTCATCCCTTCCAGCCTTGAATTACTGTTTGTCTGCTGCAGAAATTCATATCCTCCGGTTATCATCGGAGTCTGTTACCGCCCCCCTGACGCAGATGCTTCATTTATCGCTAATTTCCACAGTGCTCTTCACTTCCTGAATGCCTCTTATCCTAACATACCGGTTATTTTAATGGGTGACTTTAACTTCCCAGGAATAATCTGGTCTAACCTCGCGCTCACGATATCTAAACACACTATAGAAAGCGACTTTGTTAACACGTGCCTAACATTTGGTTTATCTCAACTTGTTTCATTCCCAACGCGAGCTACTGAGCACTCTTCAAATATTCTCGACCTCATTTTCGCGTCACACCCCGACAATCTTGCATCCCTAGTTTCCCTCCCAGAGATTAGTGATCACGCTGTGCTTCGCGCTTCGTTTTCTAATCAACTACCAGGCAAAAGCCATTCCAAGAAAACCCTCACACTCTACGATAAGGGTAACTATGCCGCCATTAACAACGAACTATCCATATTTTGTGAATGGTATTTAAACGACTTCTTCCAACGCCCCCTTGAAACTAACTGGTCTTTGTTCAAGTGCAAAATCCATGATTTGATCAACAGATTTATACCCACAGTTACAATTACGGAACGGGCGTCTTCACCTTGGTTCAACATATCTCTTAAGCGTCTCAACAATAAGAAAAAAAGATTATATCGCTCGCCTAAACTGTCTAGCAGCGCCAGCTCTTGGAACAAGTACCGCGGAACGGCAAAGGAAATTGAATCACTCGCTGCGAAGGCTAAGCGTTCTTTTTTCTCTTCTACATTACTTAATATGCTACGAAATAACCCTAAACAATTTTGGAGAGCCATTAACCCCAACCCCACAAAAACGTTATCCTTACTTGATGAACACGGCGATCCTATTCCAGAACATCTTACCCCTGAAGTACTAAATACTGCCTTCTCTTCCGTATTTACCCCTGAATCTTGCAGCCCGCTTCCAGACTCCCCATTTCTTGATCATCCTGTCATGCCAGGCATTACATTCGATTCATACGGTATTGCAAAACTAATTGACGAATTGAAACTAACGTCATCCGCGGGAATGGATGGCATCAATTCCAAAATTCTGAAAAACACTAAGCCTATAACAAGCATTATTCTTTCGCACATATTTCAGCAGTCCATTTCATGCGGAGTGGTGCCGGAAGACTGCAAGCTTGGTAAGATCGTTCCTGTCCCGAAAAAAGGTCTTTCATCTTCACCGAGTAATTATCGCCCCATATCCATCACAAGTGTATGCTATAAATTAATGGAACACATATTTTTTCCCACATAGTCATTTTTCTGCGTTCAGTACATTTCTTTCACCCTAACCAACACGGTTTTCAAAAAGAACTTTCATGTGACACTCAACTCGCCCTGTTCGTTAACGACCTGAGTTCTAGCCTGGATAATAACATACCTGTAGATGCCATCTTCATTGATTTCGAAAAAGCCTTTGACAAAGTTTCTTATAACAGATTATTTTTGAAACTTTCACGTCTTAACCTTAATTTTCTTGTTTTTAATTGAATATGTGACTTCTTGACTAACCATAGGCAGTTCGTTTGTGCTAATAACCATCGCTCCTCCCTATCTGCTGTAACCTCTGGCGTACCTCAAGGCACGGTCTTTGGTCTTCTACTATTCCTAATCTATATTAACGACCTCCCTAATAACTTAGCGTCTGACATTCGTCTGTTCGCAGAAGACTGTGTCATTTATCGTCCTATTCACAATTCTAACGACCCTGTCATCCTAAAGTCTGATCTTTGTTTGATTCAATCATGGTGCGAAAAATGGCTTATCTCCCTTAACATAAAGAAATTTTGTGTCATTTCCTTCCATCACCGTCAATCCTATTCCTCCAATAAATACTTCCTGTTTGATTCTGAAATAACAGCAGCTAATTCATGTAAATACCTCGGTGTCACTCTAACTTCAGATCTGACCTGCTCATCCCACATTATGAACATCACTAATGACGCCAACCGCGTGCTTGGCTATCTCCGAAGAAACTTACGTCTAGCCCCACCTTCTGTTAAACTTTTAACCTACCTAACACTAGTCCACCCGAAGCTAGAATACGCATGTGCCATCTGGGATCCCCATCAAATAACTCTTATTAAAACGCTTGAAACTATCCAAAATCGTGCAGCCAGATTCATTTATTCTGACTATTCCTATCTTAGCAGCGTCACCAAACTAAAATCTCAACCTAACATAGTTAACTTAGCTTCACGCCGCAAAATTTCAAGACTGTGTTTGTTTCACACATTTTATCATGCATTGCGCCTAAACCATGTTATCGTTCCAGCCCATCGTCTTTCATGCCGTATCAGCCATTCGAAAGCGGTTTATCCACCCCGTGCGCATACCACTGCCCATCACTCTTCATTTTTTGTGCAAACATCAACAGAATAGAACGATCTTCCTGCTGACATCGTGCACCACTCCAGCATCGCCCATTTCAAAGAAGCCATCGAACAAATCATCTGTTTGTGAATGTCTACCTCCTCATGTAACACCCCTTGACTGGCGCCCTTGAGGTATTATAAATAAATAAAAATAAAATTTCCGTGCTAACTTTCATTGTCTTACCCTGCATTGAGGTGGCCAAGGGTAAATCAGAACTTCAGCAAAAATAAACACATTCGCATATAATTTGCTCACAGTACTTTCACTATCGCTATACCATTTCAGGATCACCAAGTGTTTGATACATTGGTTGGCATTTATTTAAAAGCGCTTATCTCCGGCAATGTCACCTGCAATTTGCTGATGACATTGCCTTGATGAGTAACTCAGGGGATGAAGTAGAGCTCGTGATTACAGAACTGACACAGAAAGCAAAAACGTAGGTTTGAAAATAATATGCACAAAACTAATGCAATGTGCAACAGCCTCGGCAGAAAACAGCACTTTGAGATAGGCGCAGAGACACTGGAAGTCGTAAAGGAAGTCTGGTTGGGACAGGTGGTAACCACGGAGCCGAACCTTGAGAGTGAAGTAACTAGAAGAATAAAGATGGGGTGAATCACAATCAGCAAGAATTCTGAAATCATGAATGGTAGTCTGCCACTAACCGTCTAGAGGAAGGAACATAACGGTTTCATCTTGCCGGTACTCACCTACAAACCAGAAACGTGAAGGCTTACAAAGAGGGTACAGCTTAAATTGATGATGACGGAGCGAGCGATGGGAAGGAAAATGATAGGTGTAACTTAAAGAGACAAGAAGAGAGCGTCGTGGTTCAGGGAATAAGCAAAGGATAAGGATACCATAGTTGAAATTACGAAAAAAATTAGACATACGGGGTGGCCACGTAGCACTTAGGCAGGATAACCGCTGGTCAATAAAGGTTACTGGCTAGATTCCCAAAGACAGACACACGAAAGGAAGACAGAAAATTAGGTGGGCTGATGAGATTAAAAAGTTCCCAGGCATAACTTCGCAGCAGAGAACACAAGACCGGGTTGATTGTCGGATCATGAGAGAGGCCTAAGCACTTGCAGTTATTCTTGGAGTTATTTTTGCCATTATCGAGACCTTCCTACTCCGCTGGCCCTTGACTCCTTCACCTCCCACTATATCTGCAGGAGTAAACACGTTCAAACGACCGAATTTCTTTTTAAATCGCTTATACAAGCCTTCCATAGTGAAACACTACAAAAGCGAAATTAAAATGCAATATGGGCGCTGACTTCCCCGTACCGTTAGCCCGAATGGATGATTATTTAGGGAAAAAAAGAAAACAACTGGCCCAAAAAGTGCGGGGACGAAGTGCAGAAACGAACTGACCCGCACCGGTGTCACCTTCCAACTATATATATGTGTCTGTCACTTCTTTTTTTTTTTCACTTCGTCTTCGTATTCTTTGCGCCACGCTTGTTTTTAAGTATGAACCAACTAGCTCACCAAAAAGCCCTTTCGAATGATTACTGCTTCTCCTCGAATTTTCACTGAACTGCGTCATCTTCGCTTGCCTATTCTTTTCTCACTGTTTTGTTTCAGGACGAATATGGGAGTCTTTCCTTTCCGAGATGGCTGCAAAAAGGGAAAGATGACGTTCCAGGGAAAGGTGTACAATTTCCTCGAAAGACCAACGGGCTGGAAGTGCTTCCTCTACCATTTCTCAGTGTAAGTTTTTCGAAATCCTAACTGTTTTCTTTAAAAACGACACGTTCCTTCAATCACCCTCGCAGTTCAGGAACAGTGGTCTTTTACTGCTTGATTGTATAGGTCTAGCTCCTCTCCGGGCTACTGTGGCTGCCTTTCGATCTAGGATGGATGAAAGAAAATCCTGGTATTTGAACCTAGGTACAGGTTAAAGCCATTCGTGTCACCGAAATGCGCCAACAACGACACGATTATTAAACCGTAGCACTACGTTTGGCCCCCAAAAAAAACTTCTTTCGTTTTTGAAAACTTTCTGCACCACATGGCCAGGTACATTTTGTGTAAAGGGGCTCCGAAGTACCTTTCGGCAATGATAAAAAACACATTCTGTAAACACTGAACTCAGCTGCCGACTGTTGCGTCAAGTATGCTGCCCGACAAGAAGAGTTTACAAGCGGAGTGCGAAGTTGACACCTTCTCAAGTTTAATCTGTTCGATCAGAGGCCAAATGCTTATTCACTTCTGCAAGTGGAATGCTATAAGTCTTATCTATCTGTAAATGATGATGAATGCTATCTGTAACTCGATGGAAGCAGATTTCTTCCATCGAGTAATAGTTAATATTAGTCAAATATTAACCTATTGTTGACATATATCTTATTGCCCACCGGTGCATCGCCGATTATTCACCAGCGAATAAAGCAACACTAAAAGCCACATGGTTCTACTATATGTGAATCTTTGAATAATTTGATTTGTAGATTACCGTGCCCTTTCTTACACGATACCATTTTCACCGATAGTATCGCAAGTGGAACGTTAGCGTGCGAGTATTATCATCTTTTATAATAGTTTGTTTGAATAGTTAGGTAGAGTGTGCTCATGACTCACGCAGGCAGGCAGAATTCTTTGTAATTACCAAGCAGCCAACGCAACTGGTAATTTTACGGACGCAAGCACGCACTGTGAAGTCAAGGTAAAAATGCTATACCTGCAGTGCACCGCGAAAGTGAAGGCCCTGAAGTTTCCCCGCACAAACTAAAAACAAATACCAATCTCCGTAGGCATTGAGTACGCTAACAAGAAGGCGCGATCCAAAAGCATTCTGCTTCCGAGGGAATGCAACGCAGTTAACCATACGACGTTCCTGGCCACTCCCAGTTTTAAATAAAGCTTCATAATGCATTTCTCTTAGGAGTAGCAATTTTTCTATAATTTGGCGGCCTTTGACGAATTGTCGTTGCGGCATGTAACGTGTGCTGCACATAGTCTCTTTGCATCGAGCTTTCCGTAAATGTGAAGGAAACAAAAATGTTTACCGGGAATGCAAAGTACAGCATGAGACAAAGTATCGTGGACGTTTCAGTTATCATGGCACCATAACTTCACCGTTGGCGGTGGTGCGCCTGTTTTGTGGTGTACGTCAAAGACCAGCAGATGGCGGAAACTTCTGGAGCCCTCCACGACAATGTATCTCATTATCTTATGTTGGTTTGCGAATGTACAAACTCAAAACTATTACAATTTATGGTGGTAGCAGTATTCTTTCTTAAAATACGCATACCACGGCCACGTGTTTCCCCTCCAGAAGCACTTGAGTCTCGTGTGTTTGCTGCTTGTTTCTATCATCTTCACCACACACATAACACGAGAACCAACAGAGGTAGGACAACACGAGCGGTAAACTTTGAATTCATTTCTTCATAGCAAGACGTACCAACTTAATAGGGCTTGTAACATTCGCGAAAACCGTTCCTTCACTCATCAGGCTAGCGGAGCAGCCACTATAAATCAAAAGCATGTTTTGCATGGAAACATTCTAATCGAAGTTTCGCTTTTGCACCCGCCACATTTCTTTCTTCTTTTTCTTTTTTTAGAGCTAAGTCATTTCTTTTCTAATAGTCAAGCACGCTGGCAGTATTTTTCTTGGTCACAGACAGCTTTGATGCCATATGGTTTGTCCCACCCAAACATTGTTAAAAGAGAAGTTGCTAAGCTCTGTCAAGAGTGCACGCTCTCAAAAACTGTACGTTCACAATATGCACGATTCATTGGACAATCAGATTTGCCTGTCTCAAGACCGCTGGGTTCCCTCACACGATGGGGACATTTGTGGTGAAAATTATTCTACAGATGATTTTGAAAGAATGGAGGAAGGAGGCAAGGATGACGATCAATTTTGCTCTAAGACCACATGTGGTGCCTTACCAACGTAAGGTTAGCCATAACCCAAATATACGGTAGCAGGCCGCTACGTCATCCCCCTTGTTTTTCGATGTCTTTAGGGCTGGAAAGCCTCTGCCACCACGTCTCCAGAAAACCTAAAAGAAAACAAAGCCCAGCTGATATAAAGCCATACAAAACCTGAATACTCTACAGGAGTTCTGTATGACATTTCTCTGATGTGTGGCTAATCCTACATAAGGTAGACGGGAGGAAAACGGAATGATCGAGCCAGGGAACGAACAAAAAGTAGTAAAAAAGATGATTTGGCACACCAGCTTCCACAATAAAAAGACTGCGCCTGCAAACCGCGATTTCATGAGATCAAGATTCTGGGAAGAAGCCAGGATCAGAGTACGCGAGATCTGCTGGAGGACTATTATATCAGCAAGAAAAAAGGCGACTATGTAATCAATGCATCGATTAGATTGGTTCAATCCGATATGTACTTGTTTTTGTAACTGGTTGCCTCGCAGGGCTAAAGGCCAATTAGATATATGTAACGGTCTCTATGTATATCTTCGTTTTTTCATATAATGCAACGCATTCCTGTCGAAGCAGTGTCTTTCCCGTCATGTCACTGGCGCTTTTGTTTTTGTACATCGCAAGTTGTTAAGAGCAACAGCCCCTCTTTGTGGCATAGTTGTTCACCGCCACGGCGGGTGTCCACAACAGTTATCTCGCCTTTGTAGCGTACGACCTTGTGTGTCTCGCCTTGGTTGCGGTGACTGTCGTTAGCTATCGAGCACTATAGAGAATAGAAAGCTAACGTTCGAGTAGGGTTTTAACGAGCTGTTCTGAGTGGCAGTCTGGTATTCTATACGAGCGAGCCAAGGCGGTGCTTTAAACTGATTCTCAAAAATACCCTACACAGGTGCCATTCGGGCAATAAATCAGGTTAACAGATACAGTATGGCGTAGATAGCATTGTAGAACAGTGAATAACGACATGCCTCCCGCAATAATATTAATAATAATAATAATAATAATAATAATAATAATAATAATATGCGTAACAAAAGGGTTGCTCGAAGCTTCTTGTCGATTCCTGAAAGGCTCGATGATTTTTAATGGGCGGGAAGTCGTACTATCAGCAGCCACACCTCCAGCCAAGTGTACGTGATGCGTTAATGATGCGTAGTAGGAACGTACGGCCCAGAAAGGCGCGCCGATAGTAAACGTATTTGCATGCGCCTTTTCCCGACAGTTCATGCTCTCTCGATCGTGGGCTCGTCGGTGGTCAGCCGTTCCCGGTACAGAGATGTGGTCTTTTACCGAGGTCTCTTGGCTTCTGAATTGCACACAACTCAGTTTTGCCTGGATATGAGCGCATGTCCTTCGTTTTGGCCTGTACGTAGCGATGCTAATGTAGCGCTGCTAAACATGGAGCTGAAAATGTTATGGTAAGAAAAAATGACAAAGGAAAGAAAAAGAAAAAAGACGAGGAAAAAGCAGGAAAAAAGAGGAAAAGAGAGAAAAGAAAAAAGAAAGAGATAAAGAAATAAATGAAGAAAAAAGATGAATACATAACTAAGTAAAGCAAGAAAAACGAAAACAAATAAAGAATTAGTAAAGAAAAAAGGAAAGAAAGTAACAAAGGCGGAAAGAAAAAAAAAACAGATGCAAAAACGAAAACAGGATGATAGTAGATGAGGCACTTCGGTTACCCCTGTTTTATTGAAAGGAAAACAACCCGCTACTTTTCATTTACCAGGTTTTCGTTTTAACAATGTCTGTTCGTGCATTTGTCCCTACACTTAACAAGACTATTAGGATTGTTAGGGGTCATAAGGAAGGTCGCTTGAGGATACGAACATTGACAAGAAGAGGATACGAAAACAAACAGGTTTATGGCATTATTTACACGTATTTACAGCTAAGAAGGGTTAGTGGTTTAACAAACCACGAGCGTGGTGGTTGAACCGTCACATGGTTCAGAGCGACGTCCAGCACGCGGCAGCGTCGTTTTAAGCCCTGTCAGGCTCCTCCTCTCCGAATAGAACACCAATCACACACACACAACAGGTGAGGGGGATAAGCAGGCACGGTCCACGTGAACGTCCAATATTGAGTCGTGATCACTGCACTGCAAGGTGGCGCCAGTGGGGCTCTTCTTCATCGTGCGTGTGCCGCTAGTCGAGAGGTCCCACGATCCTGACAACATACATCAAAGGGTCTGCCGCACAGCTCGCCTAATTAGCGGGGTGATTTGCGGTGGCCGCCGCGGTCTCTTCCAGGAAGATGCTGTCTTTGCTGTCCTCTCTCGAACGGTTAACGACGTTGTGGCTACACGACGTCTCATCCTCCGGCTAGCAGGGACAATGCCTGGCGGGCATAGGCAGCCGGCCAGTCGTCTATTGATTGGAGATTAAAAAGAGCGCCGCTCTCCTGTCAGCTCTGGCGCCGGTCACAACAGCTTCCCCGTCGGCAGATGAATCACTGAGGTCATCAGGCACCGCTGCTGCTTGAAGGGACGACGAAAGGGTCCGCATTTGAAAGTCGAGAATTCGCTTTTGCTTGCTGCATTGTCTGGGTAATTGCTCAAATCTTCGACAGCGTCTGGCAGATTGGGCGCCGAAGGGATTGAGAGCCTCCCCAGTAGATCGGCTAACGCACAATGGCGTCTGCCCAGACGAATTTCCGGGCCAAGCTTAACAGGATGCGTATGTGTCGTCGGGATGCAGGAGATACGCAATCCTAAAATGCAGCTACCGTGCAAAAACAAGCAACATGTCACTCCTACAGAATCCCTAATGCACTCTAGCTGCAATCTTCCAGAACACACCGTGAAACGCTCG